ATAGAGGGTTGATGCAAAAATTGACGAATAAAAAAAATGATTTTCAAGATCAAGCATCGAAAATATTAAGGATTTTCTTAAGCTTTAAGTAAACACGAAAAAAATAAGCATACTCTTTATGAGCTTATTTTATATCTCTTGTCAGTTTTTTGGCGTACTTTACGCATCTTTTACTTTTTAATACACTTTATGTATCTTTCTTAATTTGGCATCATTCACCTTTTTTTTTAGAATATGTTACCTTTCTGAAATTTTAAAAGCAAAAGTAAACTCATTCTATTGACAAATCAGACTACTTGATTAAGAAAATTATGAGATAGATTCAACAACTTGCAAAAGATTCATATGCGATAGATAAAATGTAGGGAGATGAAAAAATTCAGTTTCAAAATCCAATTTAAAACATGATGAAGATTTCAAATCAAAAGTAGAATAACCTCTTTTAAGAAACAAAGATTGAGAGTCAAAATTATGAGTTTCCTTTCTTTGACTATTTTTAGAGAAGTCAACCACAACTTTCCTAAGAATTTAAGAAAAAATAATATATAGACTTATCATTTAAAAAAAAAGATCTTAAAAAAAGTGACATGTGTGTTTTGATTAGTGAAAACTTCATAAAAAATAACAACAAACAAAAAAAATAATACAATACTCAAGACGAAAAAAGAAAAAAAAAAACACTACAAAAAAAAACTAAAACACAACACAAAATAAATAAGTAAGTATTTTAAACACCATCTTGCTTCTAGTCCGATGCTTCGAAAACTAGGTCTGCCTAGGAGATTTTTTGCTTTTCATTATTTTCCCTTTCTACAAGTTGCTTAGCTTTACACTTTTCTTTTGCAGGAAGAGTTCTCAAATTAAGGCACTGATTTTTCATGTGTCCAGGCTTCCTAAATCCAAAGCAAATAACGTCAAAAAAATCTTAACATTCTTATCATTTTTACCATTGTTCCACTTTTGTTGATGCTTATGCTTTGGTGGGCTTTTTAATTTGCTTGCTAAGTCATTGATTTCATCACTAACTAAGCCACTTTTCTTTGAATCTTCAGTATTTAACACTATTATCTCACCTGCATCTAAAATTCTTTGACCAAAAATTTGCTCGTAGGCAATGAGTGAACCAATCAAATTATCAATAGAATATTCATTCAAATTTTTTGAATCAGAAATAGCAACAACTTTAGTATCAAACTTATCAAGTAGACAATATAGAATTTTATTGACTTTTTCAAAGTTTGAAAACTCCTTACCTAAAGCATACAATGATGTAATAATTTGGATAAATCTAGTATACATATCTAAGATGGTCTCATAAGATTTCATGCAAAAATGTTCATAATATTGCATTAAAAAATTTAACTTGGATTGCATGTTTTCACTAGTGCCTTCGTATGTGGTGTGTAATTTATCCTAAATTTTCTTACCAGTAGTGCACGTGGAAACTAACATAAAATCTTCAAAATTTAATGCACAGAAAAAATAGTTCAAAGATTTTGCATTCAATTGAGCATTGATTTGTTCTTTATTATTCCTTTGATTAAAATGAATATTAGTTTTAATTTTGTCTATAACACGTGACGGTAAAGAATAATGAGTTAAAATCATATGCCATATTCGATAATCAATAGACTGTAAGAAAATAGACATGCAAATTTTCAAAAAATAGAAAATAATATTTTCAAATAAATGTGATATGATAATTGAATAACCTTCCGCAATATTATGATTATCATAATTAGCCATGGATCAAAATTCAAAAAGTTTTCAAAAACTTATTTTTATGAATCCCGCTCTGATACCACTTGAAAGTTTGTTAAGGATGTTAGGGACCTTATGAATTGGCCCAAGGCTAATTAAGAGAAAGGTGAATTGATATTTTAAACAAAACTCAAACTTAAAACCAAAATCAAGATTCACCACAGAGAAAACACAATACGGAAATTAAATGCGAAAATAATAAAGAAAAGAACACACCAGATTTATAGTGGTTTGGTCAAACTTTGACCTACGTCCACTCCTTCGAGGCACCCTCCAAGTATTGCACTAACTAAGTGTCTATCCTTTAGCCCCCACAATTAGGCGGAGAAGCCCTTACAAATCACTTCCACCTTCTCCGATGCGGCGAAGTCGTCGGGTCCTTTGATACCAAAAAGATCTTCTTCTTCTTCTATGAACTTCTCTCAAGCCAAGCCTTGAATCTAATAGTATTAAGGTGCAAGCCTGCCGGAGCAACCGTGTGGAATCCCCCTCCACACTCTCTTGAGTCCCCCCTCACAGGATCTTCTCCCTCTCTCAAACTTCACCTATTCCTCACTCCCTTTCAAACTCTCTCTTCAAGTTTTCCCCAAAAGAATGAAGCTACAATGGTTGCCAAAGACACTTACAAAAGTGCTTTGTCAAAAGCTTAAACAGAATATCTCAAACTGAGCTCATTAATGTAACTTGTTGACTTTATTATCTAGACCGATATGAATATCATACAAACCGATCAGTACAAAATAGCTCAATCATCTAGGACGATTTGGGACAATCTTAAGAAAATTGGTTACATCATCTAGGCTGATACAATATTGTCATGGACGATTAGTTCAAATCCGAGAACAATCATCCTGAACATCATCCGGAACAGAGTCTGGCCGATGTTAATTATCCAGGCCATTGTCCTGGCCGATCCTGCAATCGGCCCGACCGATATGATTATATCAATCAACCTTAATTGTTTTCCATAATTACTAGATTAATTTAGGCATAATTGTGCTGTATCGTCCATGCCGAAATTTAGATCGTCCTGACTGACATCCTAAAATAAAGAATACCTAAATTGATCATGGAGGTTGATTCTTTCTAATTTAAGCCTATCGTCATAATCGATACAATTATCGTTCAAGCCGATCGGCTTAATGACAGCTGCCTTAATGAGGATGATGCCTTAATTAGGGTTTCTAATTTTGAACCGATCGTTTATGCCGATATAAATATCGTCCCTTACGATGTTACCAAAAATAGTATACTCCAGCGAATAGACAGAAAACTTCCAAGGTGTGTGTGTGCAAAGTTACATAGCATCAGGAGCCCCACATCAAATACAATAGACTCAAGAAAGGAAAAAGTGGCACAAACTGACTCAGACTTAGTCTACCCAATCTTGAGCTGGTTTCAAATTACAATCTGATCTTGTGGACCTGAAATGTCAGTAGATAAGGCAGTCGTAGAGAAATAAAAGTTTTTGTTATCATCAAAATCATAATCCATAAAAATAAATCAGCAATAATATATATAAGAGCAAAACAATTCTTTCAAAATATGTTAGAAAAAATAATAATCAAAGCAATAATATTCGAAATCATTAAAAATATACAAGTTGCAAGAATATCAAACATGTAAAAATAAGTAGCAACTATCTCAATAATTTACTCCTTTTTATGATGTCAAAATAATTATTATTTGAATAAAATTGAAAATTCTAAATTTCTCCTTAACTCCTCCTAAGTAAATAAGCATGTGAATATAAGGGAATTTCTATTAAGTACAAATCTATATATTATTTTTTTTTCAATTTTTCATAAAACCACAAAACACTCCAGTCATAAAAACACTTCAAATAAAAAAATAGAAAATTAAAAAATCTCTAACAAATACTAAAAATGCAAAAATTAAATATAAATAAATAATATTTCTCTTTCTTTTTGACAATAATAAAAAGAAAAAAGATAAAAAAAAACATAAATGTAAGAAGTTATATGAGAAATATTTGATAATTGATCTTGAAAGAAATTGAATTATAATTGCAATAATAAGATTAATATTCATTAAAGAAAAATAAAGATTAATAACATTTAAAATAAAATATAACATAGATATGATAAATATATCAATGTCATAAAATAATCTAGATAATTTGATAAGAAAAATTATTGCAAAAGTGATGAAATGAAGAATAATTAAAGTTAATTTCCAATATAAAATGTAATTGAAAATTAGATTAATTTAAAATTAAAGATTAAAAGATAGAGAAAAGAATAGTTTCAATACACTTATTTGGTGTCATTGTGCATCTTTTCAAATATTTATGACATACTTTGTACATTTTTTTATATTTGGGCTAATTTTATGTCTCTTTTCAATTTGCGAACCATTGTGGTTTCTTTCAATTTTTATATATTTGTATATTTATCTATTTTTTTAGTTGATATTTTGAAAATTAGTAATCTAAAAATTCAAACTTCTCTATGAACCAAAATAATTATATTGAAAAGAGAAATAAAAAATAATAAGACATTAAAATTATAATAATAATATTAAAAGTATTTTTGACTAAAATG